GTATTCATTGTTTACTTTGTCTGTTGCAGCCGTTAACGTTAGACATGTTTTTAAGAGCTCGGCGATTTTCTTTTGTATCAGATGTTGCGTAAAAAATAAATTAAAGTGTAACAAATTGTCTGAAATGGCAACGAAGGCCTGTCCTATGGTGTGTCTACTATTAGTAAAACAATAGTTTATGAGTGGTTCAATGGTTTCCAAGATGACCGTGAAGACGTTGAAGATAACGAACGGCGCGGGCGCCTCAGCACGTAACCAAATAAAACGTGGAAAAAGTGAAAGAAATGATTATGAAATCACAATAAGAGAAGTCGCTGATGATGTTAAAAGCGCATCGGAGAAAGAGCTATCCCAAGGAACGAGTTTGAGAATTGTTTCAAGGATTGGAAGAAGCGCTGGCACAAGTGTATAATATCTAATGGGGATTATTTTGAAGGCAACAACAGATCAATAATTAAGTCAACGTTAAAAAAACGAAAATTCCCGTTATTTACTGAACGTATATGGCATCAAAGTGCCAAAGTTTACTTTACAATTTAATAGCCACTTCCTCTTGCTTATATTTAACTGTATACAAAATTTCATTCAAATAAGATGATTTTTACTTACTGTTCCAAGTTGTTTGTAACATAGTATACAGGGTTATCCAAATTAAGTGTCCACCATTAGTAACTTTGTTATTAGTGAAAATACAAAGTTGTTTGAATTAGCAAACTAGTAGCATTTTTAACGCTGGTAAAAATGAGAAATAAAAAAAACAATTGAGAGTCGTTATTTTGATTTTTTTCAGTAAAATAACATTTTTTTAAATGGATACCCCTGTATATTATATTTTTTTCTGTTAAAGCATCAAATTTTAAACAAAAAAGTTCATAATGACTTTTCCGCTAAAGTCAAAAATAAAGTCAAAATAACGATAAATATTTTTAATTATTTGCAGTATTATAATATTAAGACGGCTATGAAAACAACATGGCGTTCGCGATTTGACAGCATTAAGATAAGCGACAAATTGTTAAACTGGACATACTCGCAACTAGAAGGCTTTGGAAAACAATGATAAAATCAAATAATGTCAAACATTAGTGTAAATACTTGTTTATAAGCTTTATTGTGTCATTAATTTAAAGAAAAATGTTCTCCCATGAAGAAAAGTGTGATATGTTAGAATGCTATTTAGTGTGCAGAAAATCCTCCTTGAGAGCAAGAGAATACTACAGTGAATTATATCCCGCTCGCATTCAACCGTATGAACGATATTTTCTGAGACTTTATCGAAAATTTAGGGGCAACGAAAATGTTTTTGCTAAAACAAGGGCAAAAAAAGAATTCATAATAAGCGAGGCCACGGAAATTGCAGTTATTGGATATTTTGAAGCTTATCGTGAGAATTCAATAGCAGATATTCTCAAGGACTCTAATTTCAGTTATGGTACTGTTCAAAGGATTTTAAAAAAATACAAATTTATTCCGTATAAGTACCGACCAGTTCAAACGCTTTTGGCAGGGGATCCAGAGAGAAGACTTGTTTTTTGCCATTGGTATCTTAGCTTCTGTCGCCAAAATGTAAATAACTTTCGTTACCTTTTATGGACAGATGAATCAAATTTTTCAAATTCTGGAATGTGTAATAGAAAAAACCACCATTATTGGTCAAGAGAAAATCTTTTGTTAGTACATCCAAGAGGCCCACAAGTCCGTTTCAGTTTCAACGTTTGGTGCGGTATAATTGGTTCAAAAATTGTTGGCCCGTTCTTTTATGAGGGAACCCTAACTGGTGAAAGATATGTGGAATTTATGTCAGAAATTCTGACTAATTTCTTAGACGAATTGGATCTTATAAGTAGACATCATCTGCATTTTCAGCAAGATGGCGCACCTGCCCACAACTCCAGAGGTACTTATCATTTTCTAAGTACTACTTTTAATGATCAGTGGATAGGAACAAATGGCCCAATACAGTGGCCTCCCAGATCACCAGATCTAAACCCACTTGATTACTTCTTGTGGGGTTACTTAAAGAACCAAATTTACAAGCGAAGGTACGATAACCTTGACGCGTTAAAGACTGCAGTTAGGGAAAAGATAACCCAGATAGATGGTAGGACCATACTTAAGACAGTTCGAGCAGTTGAAAAACGTGCCCAAAAATGTATTGAAGAACAAGGTGGTGTTTTCGAGCATCTTCTTTAAAAAAAATTGTTATTGTATTTTGTAAGATTATAAGTTGATGTTGAAAATAAAGTTTGTCGATACAATTTAATTGTTTCAGATTGGAGGCCATAACTTCAACAATTTGTAACCTAGGAGAAAAGTTATTGTAAGCTTTTTTGTTTAAAATTTGATGCTTTAACAGAAAAAAATATAATATACAGGGGTTTCCATTTAAAAAAATGTTATTTTACTGAAAAAAATCAAAATAACGACTCACAATTGTTTTTTTTTATTTCTCATTTTTACCAGCGTTAAAAATGCTACTAGTTTGCTAATTCAAACAACTTTGTATTTTCACTAATAACAAAGTTACTAATGGTGGACACTTAATTTGGATAACCCTGTATATGTATAAATGTACGCATTCAGGAAACAACAATGATACTGAAGGTTTGGTAACCACTACCATTTAGAAGCCGAGCCTGATTATGCATATTCATATGAGTCACTATGTCTAATTCCGACACGATTCCGAATCCTAAATCGAAGTCCTCATGCTACTGTCAAAACCATTATAGTGGGTTATTAGTGTGACCTGTGACAGCAAGGCTACATCAAATTTATTTCAGGGGTCGAAATACAGTTAGAATCAGACTCCTAGAGGGGTAACAGGTACCAGGCGCGGATCCAGGAGGGCAACAGTGCCATTGCCCCCAAGGCCTCAGACTTACAAGAAAAAAATAAGAAATGTGGAAAGAAGCAGAGACCACATTGTTTTTTGATATGAGAATTTGACGTAAAATAAATGTACATTGTGTTCTTATAATAAGCGCATACGACTTGACAATACCCCTTGAAAGTTGGCGGCGACCGGCGACCTACACTACTGCCACCCCACCCCCCCCCCACGTGATCCTGTATTTTCTTATATTATTTATTATTATTATATCTCAAATATTCTTCATTTTGTTATTTGATTAGAATATATACTAAGTGACATATGAATCCGAACACCCAGTTTAAATGGTTTTATTTTAATAAAATTTTGTATAAGTACTTAATGAAGCATAATAAGTAAATGATAAAAATTTCAAAATGATTACACTGCTTCAAAGCCCTTTGACCTTTAATAATGTGTGGATGCACCCTGATGTGCTACGCATTCTCCAACGCGCCTAGGCATGCTTCTGATCAGGTGGACAATGTCCTCCTGAGGTATCAAATTGAGCAACCTCCTACCCATCATATCCCACACGTGCTCAATTGGGGATAAGTCGGGAGATCTTGTTGGCCATGGTAACAATGTGACATCATTATTGTGAAAGAAGTCTATTGTGACTCTTGCAACATGTGGTCGGGCATTATCTTGTTGGAAAGTTGGATCTGCCAGGGTGTCAAGATAGGGTAAAAGATGGGGTTCTAGAACTTCGTGGATATAACGCTGCGCGATCATGTTACCTCTGATGAAGATTAAAGCTGACCTGGAACCATAAGCTATAGCACCCCAAACCATAACTCCAACACTGTGATGAACATGTCTTTCAACCTTTAAGCACGTCGCCTTCTAACCCTGGCACGACCATCGTGCATGCCTAAACAAAATCGAGACTCGTCACTAATGACAGTACTGTTCCATTCCTGATCCCAGAGTGACCGTTGTCTGCACCACTCAAGGCGATTACGTCGGTGTTCTCGAGTTAAAGGGAGGACCCAGTGTAGCCGGTATGAAAACAAGCCAAAACTTCTCATTCGTCGGTAAACACTTCGCATGCCAATAGGTATTCCGTGTTCTGCAAACCATTAATTTGCAATGGACCTGGTAGTGGAGAAACGGTCCCTTAAGGCCAATAATCTTAGGCGGCGATCTTCACGGTCTGTTGTTCTACGGCGGCGTCCAGTGCGCCTTGCTCTTTGCGTACGGCCTTCTCGAAGCCATGCCTGACAACACCTAACCACAGTGTCTACACTTCTTTGCACTCTAACTGCAATTGCCCGAAAAGAAAGTCCAGCTTCCCGAAGTCCCACTATACGGCCCCTATCAAACTAAGTTGACGAAATCGCACAGGTCTCCGTACTCTAGGCATCGTAACCGATCGTAAAGGATGTCAGGAACCAAAATCCGCCAACGTTGATTCTTTACTGCGGCTGAAATATTCATTTTTAGAGCGTTAGTGAATTAAAAAAAAGCAGTATAAAAACCGGAATGTCCAACTGATAAGGCTGAAAATTTTTTCTCTTGTTATTTACAGTAAGATAAATACATTCACCAACTTTTATTAAAATAAAACCATTTAAACTGGGTGTTCGGATTTATATGTCACTTAGTATACTATTGTATAATGTTATAGAACGACATATCTAATATCGATGTCGCAAATATAACTGACCGACATATTATTTTTTATGGATAAAAATCACACTGGATCCAACGCCAAAATGAATATGTACCAAGACTGTATTTCCCTCTTTTGATCGAAATCAATCAAATGTAAATTTTGACATTTTGCTTTCCAAAATCGTTATTTTTAGGCCTTTATTGTACGTCTCTAAAAATAGCTAAATTGTTATTCATGGATATTAGGTGAGGCCTCAGCTGTCAAAAGTTCGTTGTATTATACAGTATCGTTCAAAATTTATTTAAAAGAAACCCAGTAGCGCCCTTAGGAAGCATGTATCTCCGAAGGGGAGCCTCGTAGGACATTTTCCAAGAACTTTTGGGATTTGTTTTTATTTTATGTTGACGAAGATAAGTGTGAAACACTAATTCAGAAAAAGTGTATTTTTTTCTAAGGTCAGAGGAAATACTTGTTCGTGTTTGAAATACGTTATAATCGCAACACTACCTGTCACAATGGGTAAACTCTAATAATGTGCTCAGTTTTTCCAACTTTGATAAAATCATTACTCAGGACAAATAACTTACTTTTCTTTGTGCAGATATTCCCCTCGGTCGCTGTATAGGTGACATTTTCGAACAGTATATCGACAGGCGACCGTTGTGGAAGCATAGAAAATTTGGCATTTTCGAAAAAGGCTTTCTCGGGGTCTGCGGTGACCATCGGTTTGGACGGATAGACGCTGTCAATCTTTTCGCGCCCATTCCCGACCGTCGCGGTACTACTCTCGTGCAACAGTACTTCCATAATGATATGCTAGCTAGCCGCGCTCTTTAACTGTTCAGCAGCTCGCTTCGATGCTGGCTGCTTTTTGGCTTGATTAGATACTGAACATTGTTTATCTGGCTATGGTCATTATATACAGAGTGCGCATACTGATTGGACCGTGATTAAAGTCCATCTTATTCATTGTCAATGTAGTTCTCTCCGTCAGTACGCGGAATACGGCGCCGCTAAGTGATGTCTCTTATCTTTATCATAATTTTGAGAGTTCGATTCATCCGATCAAAGCATAGGTGTAACAATGGGAACATGTTTGTTCTGATAATGCAAATGATTATTTAGATATCAAGAAATCTGCTGGTATTGACAATATACCGCCAACATTTATCAAAAAATGTAAAATGAATTTATACAAACCGCTTACTATAATTTACAACACCTCTTTAGAATATAATTGACGTGTTTTCCGAAGCTTGGAAGACCCTCCATTACAACCATTTTTAAAAGTGGAGACAGGTACAGCGCTATTAGCAGGCTCTGCATGTTCTCGAAGATGTCCAAAAAACTAATTCGTGATGTAAAAGACATAATCTTCCGAAAAAGATTTACAGAGTTGGTTTCCGATGCTTTGGACAGAAATATTCAACATCGGCTTTGTTAAACCTATGCAACAACACCTTTCGCTCTCTTGACGAAAAAAAATGAATTTGGCTTTGATATCTGTCGACTACTCCAAAGCCTTCGATAAGTTAGATCATAAACTTTTATGTGCTAAAGCTATGTTCTGTTGGTTGTGATGTGGTTGTAATCAAATTCTTTAAAAATAGGACTCAATTTATTCCATTGAATGGTATAACATGGTCACCCGCACACCTTCAGGAGTACCTCTGGGTTCTATTCTGGGTCCTCTTTTGTTCTTAATTTAAACCTTATCTACATAGATCAGTTCACAACTCAGATATTCAATCATTGGCTGATGACACCCAGCTCTCCCATTGTTTCAGTATAGATGACATAGAGGGCTCTGTTCCAGTATTGCAGGAAGCTATTGATAAATAATCTATGCAAATATTCAGCAGATTTTATTGTTTTGTTCTGAGAGCAGGAGAAACGACGTTGTTTCGCGCCTGAATGTGAAAATCGACAATGAGCAGCTCCAGCTCACCAATAGTGCTGAAATATTGTGCGTGGAATTCGATATCAAGCTGAGATTCACTGAGCATGTAAAAAGTCTGACGCAAAAAACCTATGCACGCCTAGGCAGTCTTTATTCAAACAGATAACTGCTAAACTTTAAAAAGAGGAAAAACTGCGAGACCTTAGTTGTGTCTGCCTTGAACTACTGCAGTATCTTATATTATCCCTGTTTAGATGAGATCACTAAACATAGAATCCAATTGATTCTAAACAGCTGTGTTCGCTTCATATTCGGCATGAGAAAGTTCGACAATGTATCCCATAAATATGCAGAGTTGAGATGACCAAAGTTTGATGAGTTGGTCAAGATATATTTTGCGATATTCATCCATAAAATTTTAACTAATTTTAAGCCAGAGTACCTACGTGAAAAAATAATATTCAATAACACTATACAATATAGAGCTACTAGGTACAGGTACGTTATCAGAATTCCGAGGCATACAACAACGTTGTTCCAAGGAAGTTTCTCATATACTGTTGCAGTTATATTGGGTGATTTTTTGCTAGTATCTTTTTGGCAACACTGTTTTTGAGAGATGACGCGTGAATCGTGTCTTGCGTCATTGTCAAACTAGTTCAGTTTGGTCTATAATTTAACCATGAATCGACTTACGAACGAACAACGCTTGCAATTTATTGAATTTTACTATCAAAATTCATGCTCGGTTAAGAGAGTGCATCGAGCACTGCTTCCAACTTATGGGCAATTTGGTCGGCCTACTGAGGGAGCATTCGGAAGCTTGTGACTAAATTTCGAACCCAGTTTACATTATTGGACATTAAACCACCAATACGCAGAAGAGAAAATATTGCGGCTGTACCCGCCAGTGTTGACCGTGAAATGTCGATTCGCCGCCGTTCGCAGCAATTGGGCCTCTGTCACTCCACTACCTGGAAAATTTTGCGACAGGATTTGGGTGTAAAACCTTATAAGATACAGCTGGTGCAAGAATTGAAGCCACACGACCTTCCACAACGTTTCCAATTTGGTGAATGGGCGCTGGCAAGACGAAGCTCATTTCTGGTTGAATGGGTACGTTAACAAGCAAAATTGCCGCATCTGGAGTGAAGACCAGCCAGAAGCATTGCAATAGCTACCAATGCATCTCGAAAAAATCACTGTTTGGTGTGGATTATGGGCCGGTGGCATCATCGGGCCGTACTTCTTCAAAGACGACAATGGTCGGAACGTACCTGTGAATGGCGAGCGCTGCCGTGCGATGATAACAAACTTTTTTTTGCCCAAAATGGAAGAGCTGAACTTGCCTGACATGTGGTTTCAACAAGACGGTGCCACATGCCACACCGCACACGAAACAATGGCCCTATTGAGAGGCGAGTTCGGTGAATAGTTTATCTCACGTTTGGGGCCCGTCAATTGGCCGCCTAGATCGTGTGATTTAATGCCGTTGGACTATTTTTTGTGGGGCCATGTTAAGGCTAATGTCTACAGGGATAAACCAGCAACGATTGATGCACTGGAAGCCAATATTGAAGCATTTATTCGTGAGATACCGGCCGATATGTTGGAGAGAGTGTGCCAAAATTGGACCTTGCGCATGGGCCATCTAAAGCGGAGCCGCGGCCAAGATTTACATGAAATAATCTTTAAACATTAAAATATATTGACCGTTCTATCGACTCAGATAAAGATTTAATCGTTTTTTCAAATTTTTTGTGTTGTTTTTGAAAATCAAATCCTATACCTCGTAAAAAATCACTCGTTATATACATGTTTTGTATAAATTATTTAATAAAGACGTTCATTATTATTATTATCATTAATAAATGCCCAAGTCGATGATATATATACCATCTTCAGCAAGACTCTTGATCGAGTTAACCATACTCGTAGTTTGCTATTAACAAAACTTCCTGAGGTTGGTGTTCGAAGCTCTCTTGTAAAGTAGATATAAGTATAAGTCGAAAGTCCATAATCGGGAGTTCCTCAGGGCAACTACCTAGGTCCATTGTCCCTCTTAATTATCTATATAAACGATATCGCGCAATACTTCAGCCATTGTCAATTTATTTTTTAACGCGGAGAAATGACCTGCTCCTTAATAATTCGAAATGCCCATCGTTCACATTCACTAAAAGAAGAAACCTATTTCAAGTATGCATATTAGATAGATAACGTCAATATTATGCAATATTTGGGGCCTGGGTTCGATTGAAACAATAAATAAAACTAATAAGATTCTTGACTTTAATAGAAGACACTCTAGATACGTCAACAACCTTGGTACGCTGTTAGCATAAACTAATGCTTTTGTATTTAGTAATTTTTCTTTCGCGTTTATTTTTTGAAACCCACACTAAGAAGCCCACATACCTGTAAGAAGAATTGCGTCTATTCAACATAGGTCCTTGCGAATTCTGCCTTATAAGGCGAATAGCATTTCCATAGTGATGATTACCGCTTAGCAATGGAAAGTTTCTAAATCTTACATCTGGCCATATGGTATTATCTGATTTGTTTTCTTGACAGAATCTTGCAAAATCAAAATGACTGCTGGTACCTTTCATTGGAAATCAACATACTGAAATTTACCAATAAGACTACATCTCAGGCACTATTTATACCTCTATATTCCGTTTTGCAGCAATAATATTGGTCTAAACAGTTTAGTGATACAAATAAAAAGAAATCTGAATAATTACGGCAAAGTTGATATTATGCTCATCATGAATTGCTAAAGTTTAAGGATTTTTATTGCATATAACTTAGTATTCTAACATTGTGGATGCCCATTTTGAAAATTTTCTGTTTGATCCCCTAATTTGATAAGCAAATAAATATCCTAAGCGCGAACATAAGGATCTTAATTCAGTGATTCGGTTTTCACCAACGGAACACACAAAGATTACGAATAATTTCAAAATCTAAATATCTTGTTTTACATCCTGTTGACGTGAATACAGTAATTTCCACCGGTAAATCTGTCATCTTCGTATATAATTAGTAGCACTTCAACTTGAAAGGTACCAGCCGGATTTCTATCAAGTGATAGTAAATAACAGCCGCAGCAAGGGTGTGTTATTGAGAGTTGACCCTGAGTCAGTGACCGTATGATCAAAAAACTGATCCTCATTGGTTTTCTCAAAAGGAGAATATGTTCGACATAATACAGGGGCCTCCGATACTGTGGATCTTAGATTAAAAAAAATGTCCTTTGGGATTAGGCATGACGAATGATCCTTCAGGTGGCGAAACACACGATAAATGACCCTTCTGTGGCTTTTCTTTGCTCTTCGATTACCTGCATTCTTTGAAGCCTGCAACTCCTTAGCATGTCGCTGAATACGGTGGTAGTGAGCTAATGTCGCGAAACGCTTGGAAGATGTTGCTAAGCTTTGATTTTCCCTGGAACTTCTTCAACTATAATCTATTGCTTAACTATGTGACAGCTAACAAATTTAATTAGTTTAGGTAAATTCCGATTTCTTAAAGTCTACCTGAATCTATGAAACTAGTTCGATTAAAACAAAACGCAACCGCTTGATTGAATTTAATAAACCGTTTACGTAGATTGATTACACCAATTTATTAAAAATTAATTAACTATTTAAATAAGTTTACAAGCTCCAAGTGATACAATTTAATTATATTTATTAAAATTGCTTAATTAGCTTAGGTAAAAGTGTTTACCTAGATTTATTGATTTGTTCTATTTAGATATAAAATGACATTTGTATAATATTTGGGATTCAAAAAACAAAATGCATGTTACTGATATTGTGATATTGATAGTTGATGTTTTCAAATCCTATATATGAATTATACAATATAAAAGAAAAACACATGAAACATATGTGAATCACATGCTCGGTATAAATGTCGTCCATTGACCACAGTGTTTTATTTCGAGCGAGAAATATACCAAACACCAACAATGGAAAATTAGAATATGAAGCTCCTCGCGAAAATCACAAATGAAACTGAGGATTTCGAAACCCGTCACCGG